AGCTGTCCGGGGTGCTGAAGGTGCTGAAGATTCGCGTCTGGCCGCTGGACGACGCGTGAGGCCAACGGAGGTGTCCGGGGTGCTGTCTGGGGTGCTGAAGATTCGCGTCTGGCCGCTGGACGGTGCGTGGGGCCGACGGAGCTGTCCGGGGTGCTGACGGTACAGAAGAGCCGTGTCTGGCCGCCGGACGGCGCGAGGGGTCGATGGAGCTGTCCAGGGTGCTGAAGGTGCAGAACAGCCGCGTCTAGCCACCGAACGGCGCGAGGGGCCGACGAAGCTGTCCGGGGTGCTGAAGGTGCTGAAGATTCGCGTCTGGCCGCTGGACGGCGCATGGGGCCGACGGAGCTGTCCGGGGTGCTGACGGTGCAGAAGAGCCGTGTCTGACAGCCGGACGGCGCGAGGGGCCGACGAAGCTGTCCGGGGTGCTGACGGTGCAGAAGAGCCGTGTCTGACTGCCGTACGGCGCGAGGGCGAGGGGTCGATGGAGCTGTCCGGGGTGCTGAAGGTGCAGAAGAGCCGCGTCTGGCCACCGAACGGCGTGAGGGGCCGACGGAGCTGTATATATATATATATAGCGGGTAAAATAAGTATTGAACATGTCAACGTTTTTCTCAGTAAATATATTACTAGAGGTGCTAAAGACATTAAATTTTCACCAGATGTTGGTAACAACCCAAATGATCCATACATACAAAGAAATCAAACCATAAATGTCCAGAAATGAAGTTGAGACTTTCAGTCCAGTNCAGTCAAAAGTGATGTAAGAAGTTACGTGCATGCAGCATGCCATCACACCATCAACCGCTTCGTGCCGGTTCACACAGTGGCACTCCGTGATGTTAGGAGTTGTCTCAGGAATAAATGTCTCCACCTGGGATTCAGTGTTAGTTCTGTTTCCTGTCAGCCAGTGATTTTATCTTTATTTTTAGTTCGAAGTGGACACACATCATTCCGGCACCTACTGACAGAGGGTTTGAGTGTGCGTGTGCCCTCTTAATGGTGGGTTTCAAAATGATCTGGCTCTTCATCCCAGCCYTCCTTGTCCCAGTGACCTCTCTGCTTGGGAGCCTTGGGACCCCCTGAAGCTTTAGCCATGATGATCTGGATCATACATGTACACACACACACTGACGTCACCAGTTCTCATCGTCCCCCTTTGACTGCTGAGGAACATTTAGCTTTGATTAAAAGTAAACACACCTCTTAAGACATTTTAATTATTAATCTATGGTTAGAATGAATAACATAATCTTTGTAAACTTCTGTAAACTTCGTAAGGATGACCGCAATTATTTTATGAAACCAGAAGAAGAGACAGAATAAACTGCCGGCTTGGATGGAGGCTTCAGCTGCTTTTTATCATTACTTTTTTATTTATGCATATTTTATTTACTTCCCTAAGTTTCCAAGGTCGGGGGTGGGGTGTTATCTTTATATTACTTTAAAATGGTCTCCAAACAATATTGTTTATCGCAATCATCTCTGAGACAATTTATCCACCGGCAAAATTTGTTACTGTGCCAGATTTGTTTTAAATAAACTATATGTGACAGGAAGTGCATTGTTCTGGAAGAAAACATCAAAAACAAGATTTTAAACCATCTGTATGCTGCAGCTTAACCATTTCCACTACATTACTAAAAAGATGCTCGTAAAAAGTTCAACGTTGTGCTGTTTCTTGTTGATATGTTTTTTTGTGCTGACCTGATCCACCCGCAGCACAGTGATGGCAGCGTTGGTGGCCAGTTTGATGCCCCAGTGTTTGACCAGGTACGGATCCAGAATCCCAGCTTCAAGCATATCCTTCACAGCAGGTCCTTCTCCCTGCAGACAGCACGACATCCACAGTCACAAGCAGCACTTTGAGTCACACACACTGAATAACAATTGCACCGAGTTGCTTCACAACCCCTCAAGAAATGTGCAAAAATCTGTATGGTGAGGGGGAAAATAACTGCACTTAACATTGTTTAACAAATGCTGCCTCCATAAAATAATAAAAACATTTCATTTTAGAGTATTATGTGGAGTTAAAAAATAAAAATAAAAAAATAATCAGAACATATTGGAGTAATATAAATATTAAGTCATTCTCAGAAGAAAACGAATAAGACAACTTTATTTTACTTTGATATTACATAACTATTTTGCAAATAACAATAGAATTATATATGTAATGTGAAACTAAAGGCAGTGTAAAGCTTTACAAACAAGCCTTTAAAGAAAACAATAAAAGTTTTCTTTAAAGGCTTTAGAAATTGGAGTTTCTAAGATGCCCCAATGAGCTTTTGGACTAGCTGTTAGCTTGTCTGAACCGAGGTCATTAACAGAGCCATCTACAACAGGTAAGATATTAGTTGTTCACAACTTTACAAAAAAATCCTTTTCAAAAGATCGGAACTGTTACTTTAAGCAGAATGAAACGATGGCTAACCCCCAGTTTACACTACATGTGTCTCCGCTCCGCTGCGGTCCGACCTCTGCAGCAAATACACACTCATTCTAATTAATCAGAGTATTTACACTGGCTCCGCATGGTGAACGGCCAAAATTAGATCCGATTCAGTTTTTGCCGAACGCCGGAGCTGCGCCGGAGTCAATCTACAGAGATCACGTCGCACCAACAGGGAAAGGAATGAACACAACATCCGTATTTTCAAAATAAGGCGGAATAATTTTGGGGAAATCCCAGCTATATTAAACAATACACGGATATACACTCACACGCTAGTAACGGGTTGGACCCCCTTTTGCCTTCAGAACTGCCTCAATTCTTCGTGGCATAGATTCAACAAGGTGCTGGAATCATTCCTCAGAGATTTTGGTCCATATTGACATGATGGCATCACACAGTTGCCGCAGATTTGTCGGCTGCACATCCATGATGTGAATCTCCCATTCAACCACATCCCAAATCCCAAAGATTGGATTGAGATCTGGTGACTGTGGAGGCCATTTGAGTACAGTGAACTCATTGTCATGTTCAAGAAACCAGTCTGAGATGATTCCAGCTTTATGACATGGCGCATTATCCTGCTGAAAGTAGCCATCAGATGTTGGGTACATTGTGGTCAGAAAGGGATGGACATGGTCAGCAACAATACTCAGGTAGGCTGTGGCGTTGCAACGATGCTCAGTTGGTACCAAGGGGCCCAAAGAGTGCCAAGAAAAGGTTCCTCACACCATGACACCACCACCACCAGCCTGAACCGTTGATACAAGGCAGGATGGATCCATGCTTTCATGTTGTTGACGCCAAATTCTGACCCTACCATCCGAATGTCGCAGCAGAAATCGAGACTCATCAGACCAGGCAACGTTTTTCCAATCTTCTCTTGTCCAATTTCGATGAGCTTGTGCAAATTGTAGCCTCAGTTTCCTGTTCTTAGCTGAAAGGAGTGGCACCCGGTGTGGTCTTCTGCTGCTGAAGCCCATCTGCCTCAAAGTTCGACGTACTGTGCGTTCAGAGATGCTCTTCTGCCTACCTTGGTTGTAACGGGTGGTTATTTGAGTCACTGTTGCCTTTCTATCAGCTCGAACCAGTCTGCCCATTCTCCTCTGACCTCTGGCATCAACAAGGCATTTCCGCCCACAGGACTGCCGCTCACTGGATGTTTTTTCTTTTTCGGACCATTCTCTGTAAACCCTAGAGATGGTTGTGCGTGAAAATCCCAGTAGATCAGCAGTTTCTGAAATACTCAGACCAGCCCTTCTGGCACCAACAACCATGCCACGTTCAAAGGCACTCAAATCACCTTTCTTCCCCATACTGATGCTCGGTTTGAACTGCAGGAGATTGTCTTGACCATGTCTACATGCCTAAATGCACTGAGTTGCCGCCATGTGATTGGCTGATTAGAAATTAAGTGTTAACGAGCAGTTGGACAGGTGTACCTAATAAAGTGGCCGGTGAGTGTATTTCTACATAGATGCCGTCAGAATGTATGGTTCTGTTTGGGAAGCAGATGTATACACACAATACACGTGGATTTTATTTTGAAAGCAGAAGTTTCAAAACGACGACAGCGATACAGTTTCAACCATAGATATCAAAAGCTTTTATATCAGTGTTTTCAGTTGTGTTTGTCCTTCACAGCGGAGCCGCATCTAGTGTAAACCCAGGCTCAGTCTGACAGAGGATATAAAAGAGTCGTACTTACTTCAATATCAAAGCCAATATTTTTGTTCCCCTCGTGATGTGCAGCGTACAGTTTAGAGATGAGCACGTTCCCCTTCACCCCGGAGTTCTCGGCCAGGGCGCGTGGCACTGACTCAAAGGCTTCTGCAAACTTTTTGATGGCATACTGCTCTAAACCAGGACAGGACTACAAGGAGGCAAGGAAGGAACAGATTAGTGCTTCAAAATTTGTTTACGATGCACTTAAGATCAAGCTCTGCGTTACCTCGCCGTACGATGTGATCTGCTTGGCGAGCTCGATCTCTGTGGCTCCAGCTCCAGGTACCAGTCGTTTGTCCTACAGATGGTGAAATATGCTGAGAGTTTAGCAGGTGTGTAGGTCTGTAAAGACTTCACCACTTCATAAAAGTTCATAGTTAACATTCTTTCCCACAGTGATGTCATTAAATTAAACTGGTGAAAACAAGCCGACTTACCCGAACCAGAACCTTGAAAGTGTTGACTCCATCATCTATAGCCCTCTCGATGTCATCCATCAGGTTATCAGTGGAGCCTCTGATCACCACTGTGGAGATGGCTCCGTCTTCTTTCTCTGTTTTAAACCAAACCAGACACAACATCACACTTCAACCCAGACAGAGATCGGGTTTAAAACGTGAAAAACTGAGCAAAGACAAACTTACCATGTTTGAAGACCACCACCTGAGTGTCTCCCACCTCTGTGAGGTACACACTGTCACAGTGACCCATCTCGTCGGGAGTCGGGGCCGTCTAAGAATGTACAGCATCGTACAACACAATAAAGTCAGTTAAATCATTATTTGCATGCCTGACTACAGGTAACACAACTATACGTACTATTTTAGGCAGAGCTACAGCCCCCACAGTCTTGCACAACCTCCTGAGGTCCCACTTGGAGTTGAGTCTGTAGGGGAGCAGGAAATTTAAACACAGCTTCTCCAGCCCTCTGATTCCCCAGGCTTCAGGTCTTACCTGACCACCATCAGCTTGTACTTGTTGGCGTAATGCAGCGCCATGTCGGCCACTTTCCCCCCAGTGACCACCACGTTGGCTCCGGCCTCTTTGATGGCCTTCACCTGAGCCTCCATCATGTCCTCCTCTCCCTTGCTGAAGTTCATGAGCTCCTGTGCGTTATTTATCAACACTGTGCCCTGCGGGACAAACAGCACGCCTGTCAGCAACAGAACAAGCTGTGCAGAGTTTACACCTGAAAATCTTTGTGTTATTTTAGCTGTTTCTCCTCTCTTTACTACGGTGGCCCAGAGGTGTCAAGTCCAATAAAAGCCGCAGTTTTTGTATTTGCGTTGCGGCTTTTGTATTTGTGTTGCAGGATTTTTATTTGTGTTGCGGTTTTTGTATTTGTGTAGTGGAATTTTTATTTGTATTGCGGTTTTTGTATTTGACACGACACCTCAGGGCCACTGTACTTTACATTTCTGTATGTTCACACAATAGCTGACACAGAACTCTGGAGAAAAAATAAATTCTGTCCTGAAAATCACACAGCTTTGGCCTCACAGCAGCACCACAGAAAGCAGACTTTATTCCTTTCTCCAGGGCATAAATTCAGACAAATGGATTGAAACTTTCACCTTAGTTTCTGTCACCATGCAGTCAAAGGGGCAGGAGAAAACTACAATCTTGGCATCTTTAACCGATGTGACGTCTCCTTCTGCCTCCTTTTTGAAAACCATGCCATGAAGCATGGAAGAGGCCGTCACTCCACAGCCCTGCAAACACAAAGCAGACAGCTTATATGCAAACAAAAACAACAACACACAGAGAACGAATGAATAACAAAGCTTACCAAAATCTTGCACACTCTGACATTGTCAACATTGAAACTGCCGGACTCTGGGAATATGGACACTGAAGCACAAACCCAGGGGAAAAACCATTACCGACATGACAACAAATGAAAAATGTTATTAGTTAAATCAGTCTAAGGTGCTGGCTCACCACAGGCCTCTGCGATGAGGCTGGAGAGGAAGTCTTCATTCCCGTACTGCTTGCTCATTACTGCAGTGCGGATGAGAGACGTGGCCTCTTTCATGTCATGGAGGTTTTTGGCTGATGAACATACGCACTCTGGCAGGATCTCTAGAGCTTTTTTACAAGCCTTCTCATAGCCGTCAATCACCTGAAACAAAAAAAGGAAAGACGATATACTTACTAATGCATATAGGTAAAAAACACTGCTTAAATTAATTCTCTGGCATCTGAATTTTCCAATCACCAGCTGTTATATTGTTGCAAAATTAGCACTCCATACAGTCAGGGTGATGTTCAACATTTACCTCAGACACAGACAAGCCCATCCTAAGAAGCTCTTCGGCCAGCTCCAACAGAGCTCCTGCAAACACCAGAACAAAGTTGGTGCCATCTCCAACTTCCTGCTCCTGCATGTGGGATGCCATTACAACCATTTTGGCTGCTGGATGTTGCACCTGTGAAACAAATTTTGAATTAAAACACTCATTTACATTTATGACGTGTATATTTTATTTTTAGCAGCAAGCACAAGAACCTTTGAAGATTTTCCTCACCTCCAGTTCTCTGAGGATCGTAGCCGCATCATTGGTGACAAACAGTTTCTCCAAGTGATTGATGACCATTTTGTTCATACCGTTGGGACCATATGCAGTTCGTGTGGTCTGAGAAAGCTCCTTACACGCTCTGATGTTACGAAAAACTGCCTCCTCAAGTCCTGAGAAGTGCTGCATTGGAAATAAAAAAATAATGCATTTTTCAAGTGTGCCTTTTACAAGAAAAGTGCAGGAGTACTTCTGCTACGATTGAATATTACGCAAATTACAGCAATAAAACATGCAGTTCATTTATTACACTGTGAAGTAATGCATTAAAATATGCTTACAAAGTCAGAAAAACACACTACAAATGTAAGCTGACCCAAAAAGGAAGCAACAGCATCCTTACTGAGGTAACTCAGAGCCTGACAGCTAAGGCTAACTGGGTGTGCCAGAACTACTGCAGCGTTCATTTAAATTGTAAACATTAATGCTGATATTCAAACATGTTAAGTGAAAAAATATATTTAAAAAATAATCAAACTGTATTTTAGTCCATTATTTCATGAATAGGTTTTGGTACTTAAGCGGCCTGGCTCTTTCTAGAAAGCTCCCACATGACAAGTGAATTTGAACACGCTAACTCAGCGGCTAACCTTAGCTCGCACGCTAGTTTCACAACTATTAACTTCAAAAAAAGGCAAATTTGACACAACTGCACACGGATTTAATCTAACCTTAGCGCCTTCCTTCAACATCTGGGCAAAGCCCGGAGGTTTGGGGACGTGGAGAGCCATTTTCCGATGTTTAGCAGCCCCGGTGTTTAAGTGAAGCTAGCCGCGGCGTGCGTTTAGCTTTAGGTACAAAGCTGGAGAGAAAGGGCGGAGCTAGTACGGGTAGCAACAAGGGACAAACGGAGCGGTCCTGTTTCAGCTGCTCTGACCAGAAGCGACCACATGAGGGCGCTGTTGTCATTGCAATTCATGCAGGTTAGGAGAACAGCAATTTTACACAGACGTACAAATACAACTACAGAAGATTTTCTAAACATTTGTGAAACTCAAGTATATGTTTGCTTTTTTAAAATGAAGAGTAAATTATAATTTGGCACTAGAAATTATATAGAATAGCAAAGAGCAACCTTCAATTTAAATTCGTTTTATACCAGCTCTTTCCAATAATCGATTTCTCGGGACACTTAAGAGAGAAATGACTCCAGTCCAAATTGTTTCATTGCAGATCAGTCAAACTCAAATCAATCACGTTTTAAATAAAATGCAACAGTGAAGATAGTCTGGACATTTCCCCCTTCCATATCGTCTTTTAAATTTTTTTTTTTAAAGATGTTGAGTTTATGCTTGGGAGTGACAAGGATGAATAAGACTATGCATCAGATCATCAGCGATTAAAGCACTGGTCAAATTCAATCCCCTTATTTGCATGTAGTCATTATTAAAAAGTTGATTTGTTTTTTACCCATTTTAGAAAGCCTCTACTAGTTGACAATTACAGTTTTAGGTCACAAAGACCAAATGACACACACGATAAAAGGAAATAAAGTGAAGACTTTTTTGTGTTTTTTAAAACATTTATTCTGTAAATGTTTATTCTTTCACATTTATTTTGTATTTCCTTTTTACCCACTAGCACAAAAAGTAAGTACAGGCGTTTGAGGTGGCACTAAGAACTTACTAAAATTTTCTTCACAACCTCATCATTGTTGCTGTCATCTGGTAATGAGCCTTTAACTCCCCACCATCACATTAAGAGATGATTTATGTGTAAAGTATTAGTGCATAAATCATCTACAGACCATTGCTATCACAAACTGATAGAAAAAACCCCCAACAGATTAAGTACTGTCTAGAAAAAGGTCCTTATAAAAACTATACACTGTACTCTTAGTTTAATCAATTTTCATTCATAAAAAAGTATAAAAATGTTAGTGAGATAATTGCATGTGTGTATGGGACAATACAGCTGTCCTCTGTCAGTACATTTAGTGTTAGTTACTCAGCTACCTTTGCTTTAATGCAAAAAAATCTCATAGAAAGCACTTTAAAAAATGTAACTAAAACATTTAAGTGTAACAGTTCAGACATAATTTTCAGAGGTCCTTTGGTAGCTAAAGAGAGGATTTTCACCACCTGCTTGGCAAAATTAAAACATGTAAACACAAGATTCACACCATATAAACACATAAAAGAGAAAAAACAGCTCTACAATCAGAGTCAAGACAAAACTACATGTAACAGTGACGCCACAATAACACAAGTAAAACATGATGGTGAAAGAAGTTTCTGRGTTTGCTACGTGCACTTCAGTTGGATTTACGAATCGTGTTCACAGCTGTGTGAGCCCACCCCCCCACTGTGTCTGAGAGGTGCGACGCCCGACGCGTGAGGTTGGAGCGGCACAGTTTGCCGCTGGGGTCCAGTTTTCTCATCACCGTGCCCCCGGGCCGTTCCTTTAAACTGGGTCTGCAAAAAAACAAAAACAAACAAATAATTATGATATATTTTTGTTCTTCCTGAATGTTAGCCCTCTTTTTTGTGCCATATTTACACAGTGTATATTTTTGCAGCTCTCAGTACTTTTAACAGTAAGTCATAAAGCACTTTAACTAGAAGACTTTGTTACGAATAGAAGAAAGGAAATGGTAAAGTCAAACAGTAACAGGATTTGGACAGAGAAGAGAGGCATTCATTGTTTGGACAGAGTCAGTAAATTATCTGCTGTAGGGCTGGGCAATAATTCTAAACAATATAAAATCATGATCAATATCATAAGAAAATACATCCAATATGTTGATAATTTCACTGTATTCTGACCAGAACCGCACGGCATTCTGGGGGATGTAGGCAGAGGCAGAAGAAAGGCTTTAGCAAGAGGAAAGGTCACATTTTCTCCTGGTTCATATTTCAAATGAGCAAAACAAAAAACAAATTATTATAGACTCATATYAAACAGTTCATGATGCATGCATTTTTCAGTCATATTGCCCAGCCCTAATCAGATGTATTAAAAAAAATACATAAAATGTAGATTTTGACATAAAGCAGCTGACTTATGGGCATCGTGTAGCTCTGCCATGCACTTTCATGCTAAGATTAGTAACATTCAGAGCATAGGTCTCCACGTTTCAGCTGGATTACTTGATATATTTTTCATCTTTTTACCTTCCATTTTACTCCGTAATTAAGGAATAGTTGAACTGCCTGTGGGGAAACAAACTTATTTAAATTCCAAAGAGCCAACCTTCCCACAGCGAGGATCGCGCAAAACTGATAAAACACAAGGTCACTGTTGTTCCTGCTTTCCGCACTGTATCCAAATGACAATCCACGGATCGGACACTGCTTTAGTGTTTTAYATGTCAACACAGGAAGTGACGCAGGCAAGCATCCACATTTTTGTCATTTCATCTGGCTTCAATTCCCACACCCACTTACTCCCTCCTCATTCGAATACCAGAAACACAGACCCATATTCAAACTGAGGCGGGAAGAATGTCAGAGTGTGTGTTGGGTGGGGTGGGGGGAGTCTGGAGACCCACAAGCTGCACTGGATTCTTCAGGAGGGAGGAGGGCTCGTACCCTACTATGTTCTATACAGAGTAGATTAATAAAACGAAASAGCCTGCTTAATTATAGGAAAAGTCAAACCTTTTATTTGTTCAGTCAACATTTTCCCAGTTTCTAAACAGCTGTAAAAACATTTAACAGAAAGTAACTTTAATTCACTAAATAAAACAGTGTTTTACCTGTCATCTCGGCCAATGAGGTCATCAAAAGCCTTGGACAGACGTTTGAGCTTCCTGAGTCCGCTGGAGACCGACTCCAAGTCCTGGTCAAATTTTCTATTAAAGTAAAATAAAAAAAAACTTTAAAAAAAAGGAAATAAAAGAGCAATAACACACACTGATGAAGAGGAAACTCACAGCCTCTGGTTCTGTGTGTTGGGAGAAGCAAARGGACTGCGTAACGCAGCCATCCGCACCAGCTGTCTCCTGCCTCCTCTGCTTTTAACTCCACGTACGGATGCCTCTGGGGTCTTCCGCCCTCTGGAGCCCGGAGTGTGTCCCGGTGTTGCAGCTCGACCGGGAGTACGTCTCGGAGTGCGGGAGGCAGGAGCGCCCGTGCGTTCTCCATCCCGACCGGGGGTCGCCACCAAACACTCCTCGCGTGAAAACTCCCTGGATCTTTGAAACCTCTGAGCGGAGAAGGAAAGAGGATGGTTACGAACCAATGCAACTTCATTTCTATGGAACACAAGAACTCCAGATCAGACAAGTTCACCCCACCTGACACATTTCGCTGACAGAGTTACGAGCGCTGCGAGTGAGCTTACGGACCACGCTGGGTTTCGGCTGCTCCTTCTGGGTTTCCGAAGCCGGATTTTCTGGGAGGGAGTTTGTCTGAACGGAGCGCAGAGGGAGCCGCTTGCGCAAAGACATTCGCAGAGAGTTAAGCGAGGAAGAGGAGCGAAGCTTGCGGAAACGATCAGGGACTTCTGGGGAGCTCTCTGGCCCGTCAGACTCATCCAGGACTGTGTGGGCCCTCCACACCCCAACAACAGCTTTTCCAAGCCCATCCATAACGAAAGACACTGTGGAAAGTCAACAAGAAAATAGCATGACATCATCCTTTTGGCTTTCCACAAGCGTCAAGTTATCATTTTCTTTTAAAGAAATTCAAAGACCCCGGAGAACTGTTGAAAAAGACCAGTTCAAAGTCTGTCTCTAGAACAAAAACAGAGAAATTAGAGAAGTGTTTTAATAAAAACAAGCTATGACACGAAAATGAAATAAACAGTAAACATGAGGGTCAAATGACTGTGTGGCCAATGCAACATATTTCCCAACAATATAACTTATTTATTTTTATACATATATATAATGAGTGAGTGAGTACTTTTAGGGGTGACATACAAAATAAAAGAGATAGTTTACCATCAAAAACTGTGAGAAAACACAACTAATGAAGTCTGACCCGTGGTGATCTGCCTAATCAGGCAGTAATAATCGTAGATATTATATAAATACATAAATACTGTACATATCTCTATGGTAATAATCGAGCTTCGTGCTTTTTGTTTGTTCTGGACAACAATAAAAGCGACTGGTCGTGATTCTGTCCACAAACAGCGCTAGAGCAAAGAAAAGAAAAAAAGAAAAAGAAAAAAAGAAAAAAAGTGACTCTGAGATCATGCTTTAAACGTCACTAAAGCAAACCTAAACTCAAAGACGAAACAAAACGTCGTCGAGCAGCACAACTACGCACTAATGTTTTTAGTTGCAGACAAAACATTAAGGAGGGTGCTCTTTTGCTAAGTTTAACTTGTTAATTCAACTTTCTCTGAAATAAGCCAATACTCACTATCTTAGGAAAGAAAAAGATTGAGAGTCTAATCATTTGCTAAATCGATAGCTTACCTCAAATTAAGCTTCTAAAAATCGTCAGTCCCCTTGTCTCCAGCTGCTACTGCTCCCTTTTTTTCTCTTCCAGTTTGAATTTGGCGGTGGACCGCAGCCTTACGCAGTTTACGCACAGTTTATGACGTAATACGTAACGTGTCTGCGGTGCTGGAGGAATCCTGGAATGTGGAATGTGGGACCTGCGAAGTTCTTTTCTTTTCTTTTCTTTTCTTTTCTTTTCTTTTCTTTTCTTTTCTTTTCTTTTCTTTTCTTTTCATCTCACAGTATTAAAACCAACCAACAAACAAATAAAAATAATAAATAAATTTGAGGAATTATGCAACATGTAAATAAATAAATATATATAATAATATGTATTATTGCTATTTCTTGTATGTTTCATAGTTTTCTTGCATTTACAAAAATAGATAAATAAAGGCATGTCCTTATCTGCTCACATGAATCATTTTAAAGTTTGAAGGTAATGTGACCAGCAGATGTCCCTACAAACTTGCATCTCTTTTGTCTCAAACGAAAAGGATCAGATASTGGGTTGAAAGMAAGTGAAAAAGAAGGCAAAAAAGATGGATATTTTTAACAGACCAGTTGAAGAGTTTATCAAAAAGCCTGTTTTCTTGGAAGRAAAATTGTAACGAGTTAAGTGAAGATTAACTTCCTCCAAATCAGTTGTTTTTATGCAGGGAGATGCCTACAGTCGAAGAAGAAAAAAAAAAAACTAAATGCACAAACAATCCATTGTTTTCATTTTAACTGAATGTGCTCTTGTTAAAATATTTCAAATGTTAAAATGCTTTTTTTTTTAATTCTGTGATGGTATCATTTTCCAAATACCACTTTATCATTCAGAGTCATCAAAGAAGATAAAAAAGGTGATTTGCAAAGTCATTACAAAAAAAAAGAGGAAATTGCATTACGTTAACACTTTGTGTGGTTGTTTTAAACATGTATTCTTAAATAGATCTATTTAAAATTAAACTAAACAAATAGATTCTTGGTTATAGATTTAAAAAAGCAACATTAAAAAAAATCTCAAGTCTGACAGCAAATGTGAGTTTATTTGATTCACAGTCCAAGCTGTACATTTTTAATTATCGTCGTTAGGTGAGGCATTGTTTTATGTGGACTTGTAAAGTGTTACATTGTTAAAAAAAAAGAACATGGAGATCGAAACCTTGACCCCCAAGAACCTCGTAACCCTCGTCCTTTTGTCACGTTAAGAGTAAATGTATAACAAAATTTTAACAGGCTGTCAATGTATTTTTAACTCAGGAGCTAAAGGTCAATTCAAAATGTATTTTATCAACTGCTTGTAAAGACACAAAATGGATTCTTGCATTAAGATGTCTAACACACGCGCCTTAAAGGGATATTTCAAATTTTTTGAAGTGGGATTCTATGAAAGGGTATTAACAATTATAATCTTACCTGTTGTAGGTAGGTTTGTGTCACTGACTCGATTATGTAGCTAAATACTACTCTTAACAGGTCCAAGACTAAAGTGGATTTCTGCCGCAACAAAATAACACCCATCTTAAAAACTTGTGAGTGGCTTAATCAAATACTTATTTATAAATCTTTACACTGGCATCAATTTGGTATCACATGGTTATTCTGAAATTTTCTGAGGTCAATTATCAGCAGGAACTAGCTATGGCATTTTTAGGGTAGCTTATGGCACATCTGCTGCGATAACCATGTCATGTAAACATATAACTGCAAAGGTTTATAAAATACTGTATGAAAGTTTCGTTGTGAACTTTCTGAAGTTTGGTATGTTTTAAAATGTCAGAAAACTAATTTGGTCTTTGCCTTACTTTGAACATAAATCAGCTCGTGAATTAGATCAGAATAAAACTTTTTTTTTCAAACTAAGACTGTTGAAAGAGTTATCTACAACAAGTAAGATACTATTTCTTCACCACCTCTACACAGAACCCCGTTTCTAAAGATCTGWGCTATCTCCAAAAACTAAAAAAGAATCTCATGTTTCTTTTAAGTTACAACATTTTTTTAAAATCTGTTTGACGAATGCAATTGTTTCACATTCGGCCACAAAAAGCTGCTTCCATGTCAATAATTTAACCAGTTCACACAGATAACACTGAAATATACATTTATATTTATCATAACAATTAAAAAACAACATTGTGTTAAATGTATCATAAATGTATCATAATTTAAAATGTCTTTGGAGTAAAAAAACATAAAAATAAAAACTTTATTGACTCAACATCATGTGGGTTAAGTGATAAACTTCATTCTGCGAAATTCATAAAATCTTTTTTTATTTTTAATCAGTCAAATAAATATCACTGTGAACAGGAGAGTCAACATGACTAAACTGTTTAAAGTTAAAGTCTGAATGAGACAACAAATGAAAAAAAAATCTGGGCTACATTCGTTCATATTTCAATAAAATAACCCAGCTGCACATTTAAACTCCCTGGCAGATGTGCTCAGTGCAAATTTTACAAGGTTCTGGGGACATRCTGGTTAGTTTACACTACTGTCTGCCATTAGTTTATTAGTGCCAGTAAAGTTTAAAATGCTAAATAAATTAAATTACTAAGCTTCATAAATGGGTATTCATGATCTTTTAAACACTTGGTCACATTGCAGCTTCTTTTACTTGCAGCACTGTTAAAAAAAAGAATAATAGCGTTAGAAAATTCAGGTTGTAAGAGTTTTCCTCTGTCCTCTGTGTGTATATCTTGTGTCCTCTGTGTGTATATCTTGTGTCCTCTGTGTGTATATCTTGTGTCCTCTGTGTGTATATCTTGTATGTTACCTTTATGATTTTCTTCCATCGTGAAACTACGGCCAGAAGAGTGGTGACGAACACCACCACCACCCCCGCTATCAGCGGCATCAGTGGGAACTTCAGGGTCTTTTCTGCAGATGAAGAGGAAGATGATTGACTGTGTTACGTGTACGGATTGCACAAACCAGGAAGCAATCAAATATCAAATAAAGCCATCAAAGATTTAAAAGTTTCTTTTGTGACAACATAAAGGGCTGAACGGGAGAACTGACCTGTCACAATGACGTTGAAAACCTTGCTGCTGGAGTTATAAACGGGAGAGGTTGCTGTGCACTCGTACGTGCCTTCATGCAGCTTTCTCACCACCTTGCTGGCTCGCAGCACGCTTGTAACGCCGTCGTTGGTCACACTTAAGCCCCCCGCCATTAGATCCACCGTGGTTCCGTTTAGTGTCCACGACATCGACAAAAGTAATGGATTGGCCCTCATGTCACACTGCAGGACCAGTGTTTCGTCTATTTCGAATGTGACATTCTCCGAGCCGGAGAGCTGCGGGTGATCTGAGGGGGATCACGGAAAAATATTAACACTGACAAAGCTTTATTAACCTTTATCTCCCACTGACAGCCCCCAGATTAATACATTTGACATGATGAAGACATCTTATTGCCCCTACTGTACGTGTTTCTCATTTTTAAATACAACAGGCTTTTGAAAAATCCAAACTTGTGAGCAGACTGACAAAATCTGCTCTGAAATTTATGATTTTAAAATGACTATCTTTATAAACGATCAACAATTTATTATATTTTGATACTAGTACTATGATGAAATCAGTCTATTTGGAGCCATTTTTGCACCTTGTGTCAGCACTCAGCTTTACACAATTCAGATCCATGGAAATTAATGTGTATGTGTTGAGGATGGCTCCCAGTTATACCAATTTGAGAAGGGTTTGAGAGGTTTCAGATGCCTGTGACGACTTTGCAATTATTTTGATAGTTTCTCCCGCATTTTTTTTTCTTTTTAGATTTTTGTGAAGTCTTGCAAGTCACTTAAGGACTTGTGCACTGCTGTGAACAAGAGAAAAACTGGGTTCATCAAAACAAAAATAGTCCCATTTATCACCTAATTTATCCAAGCCCCTCCTCTCTGCAGACACACCTTCTTCTGATTGGTTGACCTGCTGAGGGTTAGCACCATTGCTCGTAAAGGCCTGGGACATGACAGAGCTGATGTTTGTGTCAAATTCACCCTGCACAGAAGGTTTTTAACCAACACTTGTGTGCAGATCTTGAAAAAGCCCTTGACACAGAACCGTCGGAGATGACGCAATGTTTTGGTTGAATGCTGATTAATTAAAAGCTAGCTCAAGCTGAGAGGAAATGGCATCAACTCACCTAATCACAAAGAGGATGAAGTGTGGAAAACAGTAAAAACAAAGAAAGGTGGCGTTTTTTTTTTAAAGCAACACTGGTGAAGGACAATTAACTAATGTATTTTTCCTCACCCAGGAGACATTTCAATGTAACAAATCAACTCACTTTTTTAAACAAACCCCTTGATATTGTCACTACCTACAATGTCTTGGAATTACTTTGGATTCTCATTTGACTCATCGTGATCATGTACAAGTCTTAATCACTAAGTTGAAACAGAAATTATACGTTTATTCAAAAATTAGATCCAATCTGACATCTTCTGTTTCAAATATCTATCTTCATGCCATTACACTCTCAACCATGTTGTACTGTTTACCTGTTTGGTCTCTTACAACAAATGAAATCTTAGAACCCATAGTTAGGCTCTACAACAGGGCCTACAAAATTCATAAAAAAAACTTCCTGGTTGGACTCATCACTGTACAGTTCTTTCATTGTCTGATGCCTTGACTTTTCAGAATTATGTTTTGTATAGTGGTATTAATTTATATTTTCAGATCTTCCAAGGTGCCAATTATGGAACTCTCTGTGCATTGCTGCCCAAATCAAATTCTGGAAGTGGTCATTCAACTAGATCTGTTACAAAAGGACAACTGATATTACCAACTTTTAAAAACTGTTACGGCCAGAGGTCTTTCTTCTATGTTTATACTAAAGCATGGAATYACATTCCTCAAAACATAAAGTCCATTTCAAAACCACAGCCCTTTAAGAACAATCTTGTCTGCTATCTGCTGGACACTTTTTGTTGTGCTCATATTTAGACGTCCTATTTTGCTGCCTTCCTGAAATTTGGTATGCTTGTTTGTCTTTGTGTCTGTGGTGTATAATGATGTGATTGTGATGCTGTATTTCTGAGTGTTTTATGTGCTGCAGAACAAGAACCTGCTGTAAAACAGCAATCATGCTGAGTCAGGCTTGATTTTTAGTGATCTTTTCCTGTTAAATCAATAAATCAAATCAAATCAAATCAAATCAACTCTGTTTGGCTCTTTTATGAAACAGGGCTTTACCCATTGTGGCTGCTGTAAAGTACACAACGAACAACAACATAATCATGAGTAGCCTACGCTTTGATTCTTCTAGGAAGTTTCTGAAATCTACCTATAACTGAGACCTATGATTTGGTGTTAACTTGTAAAACTACTGGCCTCCAGTCAAGTGGACGTCTTATCTCAGTCTGACCATCGGCATAAGCAGTGTAGGTGAATGCAAAGGGCGCTGTTCATTTAGAGGGGATGGAAACAATTTTGTACAATTTTTTATCAGAGTATAGTTGATTTAGTGGTGCAGAAGATATTTCATGATAAAAATATATTATGGTGCAATCAAGGCCAACTACTGGTGCTCAGTGCATAAACAGAAAACAAAAAGTATAATAATAGAAGTTCAGAGTAAAGTTTGGTTTTCAGTGTTCTACCTTCATAAAATACTGATTTAAGGTTGTTTTATTAATCCCAAGAATTTAGTCAAGTGCTCTTCGCTGGAAAATGCATAATTTTAAGTAATTTTTTTAAAAAAAAATTTCCACAGGAGCATACCCCTGAACACCCCCTAGAACTGCTTCACTCCACAGCTGCTGGTTAACATGAACAGGTGTTCCTCATTGCTGTCAGCAGATGTTGGCAAGTATGAGTTTAGACGTCTGGTTTTCTGTTTCAAATAAATCATTTTGTAAACTATTTTAATTGGACAATGGTTCCTAAAGTTAAAATAAAGCATCAAATACAAACCTATTTTATTTGGTGTGTGAATGTAAGTAAATTGACCGTGAAGTTTAGAAAACCTCCACATGAAATTCTGCCCAGGGCGCCAACAAACATCACAACCCTTATAGATTTGTTATAATCCAGTTAAAAAGTAACAATATAATTTAACACAACTCAAAGGGACTCACATGTGACGTTCAGGGTGACAGAGGCCTTGACTGAGTCATTGCTGTGGAGGTAACAAGAGAAAGTGGCTCCGTTGTCTTCCTTGACAGGAGTGATGCACACAGTGCTGCGACCCTTCTTGTTTTCTTCCTTCAGATTAATCTTTGCATTATTTCTCAGCCACACCAGAGTATTGTCACCTTCAGCGACACCGTCTGACTCACAAGTTAGAGACACAGTTTTGTTCAGCTCTGTCAGAATGACATTAGTGTTGTTTGGGTGGATCTGGATGCTGACGCCTTGGGGGGTAAAAAGAAGAAGAATGGTGAAACTTTAATAACTCATTACAGGAGGCAGTAAAAAATGTAGGAAACAACGGTTTACTTTTTTTAAATAAAATGACATGATGAAATGATAAAAACTTACCTGATGTCTGGGTTGAACAATAAAGGAGCACGAGGAAAAAAAGGATTAATATCATTTTAGCTCTTCTCAAATTAACCTGGAATGAAATATAAGCAGATGGCAAAATAATAATATTAATAAAAATAAATAAAAATAACAGAAAAAGCCAACAAAAAGAATATTCAAGAAAGAAACAAGGACTACACAAATCAACAAAAATCAGTACCTAAAAATCAAGAAAATGTTTCATTGAACAAAACATTAACAGGCTTAAGGTGTACAAATAACCTTAGTTACCTTAGTAGCAAATTACAAAAAAAGAAAAAAAAACTTTCAAGTTTGAAGTCTTTTTATTTGAGCTAGTTTCTTTCTTTTTTTTTGCAGCTTAGTTTGCTAATATTTAATCTATAACAAAATAAATGTTTAATGTTTAAACTTTCATATAAATTAAAATAGTTAATAGGAAAAAGCTCCTACCAGTCAGTCTCTTCTTTCTAACCTGTCTGTGTGAGCCTGAGGATGTGAAAGGCTGGCTGGAGATTTAGCTGTGCTTTAATACCCTTCCGGATACTTTTATAACTTCTCCGTTTCCAAATAAATTTTTTTACAACATTTTATTCACTCATTCTGTCAACACACCCCTCTCAGTCCTCCCATCCCTGAGTTTTTCTCTCTTGTTTTACTGTTTCACTCTCTTAATGTGCAAACATCAAGAATGTTTTATAGGCAGAGGTCATTACTGTCGCACTAAAACCAGCAGGGTGGGGAGGGAAAGATGAAACTGCACATTTTGTAAGATGTTTGCTTTGCAGGTCTTTAATACTTGAAGAGTTCTAAAGGAAGCCATGAATTCAAGCCAGCATTTAGTTTTGTTAAAACATATTTGAGTTTACATCTTGTCATGTCTTTTAAAATGAACTTTGTTGATGTTAATATTCCCGAAGAACAAGACAAGAACCTGGCTGTGGAGTTTGAAGAGTTATTTTCTTGTCAACTCTTTTCTTGTTTTCTTGTGAATGTCATGATGATGTCATTATGAATCAGTAGCAAGGTAATCATTTAAAAAATCCTTCAAAACTTTGAATCTTACATAAAATGTATAAAAATTACAGCAAATGGCTGTATTAAGAACATATAAGATAATAAATAATTCAAAACCTACAGCATAATAGTGATGTTTTAACATTCTAGACAGTTTATTTAGTTGTTCAAATCTTTTAAAGTGTGGTTTTGTGGAAAAATTGTAAATAACTTACATCTTACCTGCTGCAGATAGATCTTTGAATGGCCCCAGTTTGGAGAAATATGAGTTTAATTTTGATTGGAATAAAGTGCTATTGACTTGTCTAAATATGACTTTTTTTTAAACAACTGCAATTTCAAAACGTTTTGAAAAAATCAAAAGCTTTTTATAAACCTTTTACACTGTCAGTTTCAAAGAACCTGATTATTACCATATATTTACTGAATATTGTGGTTATTAAGCTCTATTCATTCCAATTCAATATCTGCAACAGGTAAGATACTTTTGTTCTCTACCTTCTCACAAAAACTCTCTGTAAAAAGTTCTGATCTTTCAGTTTAGCTCAAAATAGTTAAAAAACTAAAATTAGTAATAAAAAGCAGTTGTAACAACCTTCCATCTGAACAAATCTTAGCTGAAGCAAAATTATCAACGTTTTACTTTTACTAACTCTAGATAAATTTTCAGGCGTATTTACAATGTTATGGGTTTTCTCTGTATTTAGTTTCACACTTTTCAACTGCAACATATTAAATTCAGTTCAGTTTATTTATGTAGCGCTAAGTCACAACATGTTGTCTCAGGGCACTGTCCATGAATAAAGAACAATCTAAAAAAGAAACCAGCAGATTGTGTTAAATCGCTTCAGCACACCATTCATGAAACCTGTTTGAGCACAAACTATGTGTCCAGTACAAGTTCTGCCTGTTTTTATTAAAACATCAGCTGGAGGTCATGACCTCTCAGTTGTTTTTCAGCGCAGAAACAAGTGAGCCTGAGGATTATCTACGTTTTTGCACAGTATACTGTATAATTCTGAACAGCAAACAGAACTATAGTATCACATTCATGTAAACACGACTTTCCTTTTGCACAGATATGGGGAATGGCTTTTCATGCCAACATAGTGCCTGTTTTTTTTTAGGGTTTTGGGACCAGAATGGTTTAGAGCAGTGTTTCCCAAAGTTGGGGTCGGTACCCAAAGTGGGGTCCTGAAACATCAAGGTGGGGTCCTGAAAAGATTTTCTGAATTAATTACATTTTTGCCTTAGTTGCCTAAAATGTATAAATGTAGAATAATAAATATTGTTACTATGCCCATGTTTAGTTGACCTGATCCAAATGTTTATCATCCAAAAAATAGTTGTGGACACAGGTCTCTGCTACTGTTATTTTGTGGGTCAAAAGCTGAAAAGTTTGGGAACCAATGCACTTCAGAAATCAATTTAAAGGGTAATAAAATAATTGGTGATGTAATATTTTCCCTATAATTTTACAAAAACACAAAATAAGTATAAATAAGTATTTATATTTATGTAGCCTGTGTTTTTAGGGTCATCAACAAAGTTTGTGTACTCAGACCAGTAATATTTGGGGTCACAAGTTTTTGCCATGAATATTTTGTGGGTCAGAAGATAAAAAGTTTGGGAACCACTGGTTTAGAGTAACAATGTGAGTCCTCTTGTTAGTGTTGATGGGGCAGTGACATTATGTTAAAGAAAAAGCGCTGGACTGTATGGTGCTGTTACCTCACAATCATGCATGTTGTGTTGGAGACAGGTGCGAAGCCAGAGGGGTGGTCTGGGTACCTGAATAGCCACCCCAGGTGTCACGCTGGTTGATGAACAAGTCACTGCATGTGGCTTTGAAAGATGTGTGTTCAGAATAAATGAAGACCATAGAATAAAAATCAGACAAACAGTTGTCTTGTCTGGTGTGGACAGGTTCTACCAGTGTGATACAGGAACAACTGAACCACTGAGTTAATATAAAAGTGCTTGGAGTGGTTAAGAACGATTTAAAAGAGATATGGGGACATCTGGTGGCCATTCTTTGACAACACATCGAAAGTCATTTACATTTCAGCATGTTTAACAAGAAAACGCAATGATTATATAAATTGTGTGATTTTTGCACTGTTTTGTTCCTAATTGTTATAATTAAATACTGCATGTAACAGTTTGTCTGTGCCCTCTTGTGCCACCCCTTGCATAAAAATCTAGTTTCGTCACACTCGGACATTTTAAATCGACCTGAATGTGTGTACATGTTTGCCTGTCTTGCATATCTTTTCAAGACCCTGTAATGTGATCTGCAGGGTGTACCCCACCTCTTGATTGTTGACTGTTATAAACACCTCCCTGATAACCTGAACTGGATTCAATGGGTATAGAAAACAGAAAAATGGCTTTTAAATGACAAATGATTTTTCTTTTTCATCTCATGTGTGCAGGAGAAACTCAGTGTTCAGTGCAGCAGTTTTGTAATCCTGTGACTTAAAACAGTGTAAAACTGTTATGTGAGTTCACTCGCTGTGGGGGCCTCTGCAGAAGAGGTTAGCCAAAATAAATAAATAAAAAAACCTGTTTTATCTCACATGACTAAATCACTTTGTAGATTTAAAAGTCTGTATATAAATAAATAAAATCAAACCGCGTTACATCAATCTTTAACTGCCTGTTTGCCACGATGGCCTCATGTGTTTAAAATGGGGAATTATCATCACTGATGTTTTATCCTGCTTAACTAAAATGTTGTTAACTAACTTTATTAGTTAAAAATGCTCCACAAAGTGAATGATTTACACACCTGTTTAAATCTTTAATCCCTCTCATTTGAAATCTTTGTCACCTGCTGCTGAAGGTGAAACAATGTTTTCGCCTGTGACTGTGTGTCTGCTGCTTTTTTGTCTGTCATGTTAGCAAAATTAACAAGTAAACGTAATTCATACGGAGCCCGTCAGGTATAGAATTTTAAAAAAGGTGATGCGTGGCCATGAGATAATAACGTGTGGCCACAAGAAAATTATTACAGTCATTTCCATGCAGAGACTGTAGATTGCTTACACAAACAAGTCTGAATTAAATAAATTTCATTATTTATTATCAAAAAGTTTCATTTTCTTTTATTAAAGCTCAACAGGATGTTCATTGCGATCTCATAAATACAATGAAAAATTATCAGTTTAGATTCAACATAAAATGAATTATAAGTGTGGGGTACCTTTGAACCGTTTACCAATAAAAGCAATGTATTCTTATATGAACTGACTCCAACAATGTCTGAATCTCTCACAAAGAGACGTGGTTGCTCACATTTATCTTGTGACCACGTGTTATTTATGTCATGGCCACACATTCAATTATTTTTATCCAATGTCAGCAGACGAGCTTGATAAATTCATCAAAACTGAGATTTATTATTTAACTCACATCTACTACTGAGTAACTTTGAGAATGAACCATCCATCCATCCATCCATCCATCCATCCATCCATCCATCCATCCATCCATCCATCCATCCATCCATCCATCCATCCATCCATC